CACTTCCCCATATCCCCCTTAGCAACAGGTTTCACATGCTGGAAATGGAAGGTGAGGTGAGCAATGAGGTCATGGAGGATCTGCCGAGGAGGGAGCCCAAGGCAAGGAGGGAGTCTAAGGCAAGGCAGCCACCCCCATGCCTCCAGACTGCCTCTGTCAGGAAAGAAAGAAGGGTGGTCATGGTGGGTGACTCCCTTCTCAGAGGAATGGAGGGCCCCATATGCAGACCAGACCCGAGCCGCCGAGAAGTGTGCTGCCTTCCTGGGGCCCAGGTTGGGGACATAAGCAGGAAAATACCAAAGCTGGTGAGGCCCACTGATTACTTTCCGTTGCTCATAGTTCAGGTGGGCAGTGAAGAAATTGCTCAGACAAGCCTACGGGCAATGAAAAGGGATTTCAAGGGTTTAGGGCGCTTAGTTCAAGGTGCAGGAGTACAAGTAGTCTTTTGTTCTGTGCTGTCAGGGGCAGTGTGGGACTCAGAGCTTGCACGGAAGGTGCAAGCAATGAATAACTGGCTCAGAGGCTGGTGCAAAGCCAGAAACTTTGGGTTCTTTGACCACGGGGTAGTTTACTCGGCCCCTGGCTTGCTGTCCAACCATGGAACCCACCTATCTCAAAGGGGGCAATGAATCTTAGCTCAGGAGCTAGCGGGGCTCATTGATAGAGCTTTAAACTAATTATGACGGGGGAAGGGGACAGTACAGGCCTCACAAAAGAAGAGCCTAGGGGAACGATTTTAGAGCTGGGAGTGAGGCAAATGTCTCGGCTCAAGTGCATCTATACCAATGCACGCAGCATGAGCAACAAGCAGGAGGAACTGGACCCAATTGTGCGCCAGGCTATGATCTAGCTGCTGTTACTGAAACATGGTGGGACTGCTCCCATGACTGGCGTGTTGAGATCAATGGTTATAAGCTCTTCAGAAGGGACAGACAAGGAAGGAAGGGTGGTGGTGTGGCCCTTTATATTAAAGACTGTTTTGATGTTGAAGAGCTTGAGATTGCAAATGATAAAGTGGAGTGTCTATGGGTGAGGATCAGGGGGAAGGCCTGTCGGGGAGACATCGTAGTTGGGGTCTGTTATGTACCGCCGAATCAGGATGAGGAGATGGACGAAGCATTCTATGAGCAGCTTGTGGAAGTTGTGCAATCACCAGCACTCGTTCTTGTGGGGGATTTCAACTTCCCTGATATATGTTGGAAATATAACATGGCACAAAGAAAGCAGTCCAAGAGGTTTCTAGAGTGTGTGGAAGATAGCTTCCTTACACAACTGGTACGAGAGCCTACCAGGGGTGATGCCCTGCTTGACCTGCTCTTTGCTAACAGAGAAGGACTGGTAGATGATGTGAAGGTTGGAGACTGTCTAGGGCAGAGCGACCATGAAATTGTAGAGTTCTCTATTCTTGGAGATGTCAGAAGGGAGACTACCAAAACTGCTATCTTGAACTTCAAGAGGGCGGACTTTGACCTGCTCAAGATGCTTGTAGCACGGGTCCCTTGGGAGTCACTCCTTAAGGGTAAAGGGGTCCAGGAAGCCTGGACACTCCTCAAGGTGGGAATCTTAAAGGCACAAAAACAGGCTGTCCCTGAATACCGTAAGGTGAGCCATAGGAGGAGAAAACCGGTGTGGATGAGCTGGCAATTACTGTCAAGACTCAGGAAGAAAAAGAGAGTCTATGTCCTTGGGAAGAAGGGACAGGCTACTAGGGGAGATTACAAGGAAGTTGCTAAGGTATGCAGGGAGGAAGTCCAGAAGGTGAAAGCCCATCTTGAACTTAGATTGGCCACTGCAGTAAAGGAGAATAAGAAATCCTTTTACAAATATATCAATGGCAAGAGAAGAAACAAGGATAATCTCTGTCCTTTAATTGATGCGGCAGGGAATGTGACCACAGATGACAAGGAGAAGGCTGAGGTCCTCAACACCTTCTTTACATCTGTCTTTAATAGTCAGACCAGTTATCTTCAGGGCACTTTGTGCCCTGATCTGGATATCTGGGCTAATACACAGAATGTCTCCCCGGAGATTGAGGTGGAGGCCATTAGGGAGCTCCTCCTCCATCTGGACAGTCACAAGTCCATGGGACCGGATGGGCTTCATCCTAGGGTGCTGATGGAGTTGGCAGGGGTGATTGCTAAGCCGCTCTCAGCTATCTACCAGCGCTCCTGGTTGACTGGAGAGGTTCCAGAGGATTGGAGGCTTGCTGATGTGACTCCCATCTACAAGAAGGGCTGTAAGGAGGATCCAGGAAACTATAGGCCTGTCAGCCTGACATCAGTGCCAGGGAAGGTCATGGAACAAATCCTCCTGGGAGAGATCACATGGCTCGTGCGTGATGTCCACGGGATCAGGCCCAGCCAGAATGGGTTCATGAAAGGCAGGTCGTGTTTGACCAACCTCATCTCTTTCTATGGCTGGGGGACCAGACTGGTAGATGCGGGAAAGGCTGTTGATGTCGTCTACCTAGACTTCAGCAAACCTTTGACATGGTCTCTCACAGTATCCTTCTGCAGAAACTGGCTGCCCGCGGCTTGGACAGTTTTACCCTCTGTTGGATAAGGAACTGGCTGGAGGGCCGTGCTCAATGGGTGGTGGTCAATGGAGTGAAGTCTAGCTGGAGACCTGTTTCAAGTGATGTCCCCCAGGGATCGGTGCTGGGGCCCATCCTGTTTAATATCTTCATTGACGACTTAGATGAAGGGATTGAGTGTACCCTGAGTAAGTTTGCAGTAAGTTACAGGCTTGGGGATGAGTGCTTGGATGACTGTGGAGAGGAAAGGGACCTGGGGGTGTTGGTTGATGCTCGGCTGAACATGAGCCGACAGTGTGCCCAGGTGGCCAAGAGGGCCAATGGCATCCTGGCCTGCATTGAAATAGTGTGGCCAGCAGGAGCAGGGAGGTGATCATCCCCTGTACTCAGCGCTGGTGAGGCCACACCTCGAGTACTGTGTTCAGTTTTGGGCCCCTCACTACAAGAAAGACATTGAGGCCCTGGAGCGTGTCCAGACAAGGGCAATGAAATGGTGAGGGGTCTGGAGCACAAGTCTTATGAGGAGCGGCTGAGGGAGCTGGGATTGTTCAGTGTGGAGAAGAGGAGGCTCAGAGGAGACCTCACTGCACTGTACAACTTCCTGAAGGGAAGTTGTGGTGTAAAAGGGTCTGGCCTCTTCTCCCAGGCAAATAGTAGGACCCGAGGAAACGGCCACAAGTTGTACCAGAGGAGGTTTAGGTTGGACATGAGGAGAAACTTTTTCTCTCAGAGTGGTTAGGCACTGGGATGGCTGCCCAGGGAGGTGGTGGAGTCGCCGTCCCCGGCAGTGTTCAAGAGGCGCCTGGACGAGGAGCTACGAGAGATGGTTTAGTGCTTGTGATACTAACAGGAATGGGAGGGTGGTTGGACTGGATGATCTCGCAGGTTGTTTCCAACCTTGCGATTCTGTGATTCAGTGAATCCCAAAGTCCTTACAGCACAGGAGCTGGGAGACTGGAAAACAAGTATGACTGCTGCAGTTTTTACTCAGTTCTATCATCAGTCAGAGGTCAGGACCCTGCAGAGGACCTGCCTGTTCTATCAGAACAGCCCAGTTAATAGTAACTGGTTGAGTATTGAGCTGGTTGATAACTTCATCTTCTACTATGAAAGTTATCACCAGAGTCTATCTCACGGAGGAGAAAGCATCAGGACAAAACTTCATGCAAGACACCTGCGTTTGGAGAGAAGGAATGGAATTGCATATTTTTCTAGTCCAGCTTTTGGGTGTCAACAGCCAGGCAGAAAAGAAGGGGAGGGACATCATCTTTTAGGTCATTTCTTTATGTGATGAACATTTGTATGCAAAATGGATTGGGATCACTACTTCTGACAAGCCAAGAATTGATCAAATATCATATATTGTGGATTCTCTTCAGATCATACATCTTTTGCATCTTACCAAAGATTTCTATGGAGAGGAACAAGCACAAGTGTCTTGGAATTTTCAGAGGCTTCTTGGTGGAGAGTTTTAGGCTGAGGCACTAAATGAGTTTTTTGCCTTAGTCTTCACTAGCAGCCAGGATTCTCATATTTCTCGCGTCCCTGAAGCTCACATCTGTGGGCCTCTAGGTGGGAGCCTGGACAGCAAAGCCCCCCTCCCTCCCTCCCTCCCTCCCTCCTCTTCTCCACCTCCCCCCAACTCTGCTGCAAGGGCTGAGCGAGGCTGAGGTCCTTGAGACTAAACATATACAAGTCTATGGGATCAGATGACACGCATCCCAGGTCCTAAAGGAGCTGGCTGATGTGGTTGCTGAGCAGCTACTCATCATATTTGAAAAGTCGTGGCTGTCAGGCAAAGTCCCCAGGGACTGGAAAAAAGGAAACATCACTCCCATTTACAAGAAAGTGAAGAAGGAGGACCTGGGGAACTGCAGGCCAGTAAGCCTCACCTCTGTACCTGAGAAGATCATGGAGCAGATGCTCTTAGAAGACATGCTATGGCACATGACAGATGAGCAAGTGATCTGAAACAGCCAGGATGGCTTTACCAAGGGAAGGTCATGCCTGATCAATCTGATTGCCTTCTGTGATGGAGTGACAGCATCAATGGACAGAGGCAAGGTGACTGATGTCCTCTACTCGGACTTCTGCAGGGCCTTTAACATGATCCCGCATGGTATCCTGGGCTCCATCGGAAGAGAGGTAGGCATAAGGGACAGGGAAGTGATTGTCCCTCTCTACTCTGTCCTTGTGAGGCTCCATCTGGAGTAACGCATCCAGATGTGGGGACCCCAGTACAGGAAAGATGTGGAGCTGTTGGATAGGGCCCAGGGAACTGGGCTTGTTCAGTCTGAAGAAGTCGTTAAGGAAATCTCATTGCAGCCTACCAGTACTTAAAAGGGGATTATAAAAAGAAGGAGAATCAACTTTTTAGTTGGGTAGATAGCAATAGGACAAGGGGTAATGGTTTAAGCTGAGGGAAGCAAGCTGAGGGAAGCTTTAGATTGGTTGTCAGGTTTCTTTTTGAAACTTCACACAATTGCGTAAGTAAAAATATTGCTCAAATTAACAAAGTTCTCCATCATGTAGTTGTCTAGTCCTGTTAGAAATTAACCACTCTAAGGTTGAAGAGTGCCATTCCACTTAATGTGTAGGTCTGTGCATGTAGATTTCTCTACCAAAACATTTTCCTGAGAGATAAGACCGCATAAGACCACATTAATTAAAAAATTTCACACATTGAAATGTATTCACTAAACTCTAAAATTCCATCTTATATAAAACACAGTAATAAACTTTTGAAGTCAAAACTTGTCAACATATTAAACAGTTGCAGACACAGCTTGAGTTCAGTGCTCTCAATTGCCTTCTACCAGTTGTTTTTGTAAACTAGAAGATATAAGAAAACAGTGTTAGTGCATCTTAGGAAACTCAGATTCCCCAAGAACACATTATTTCAATTTCTGAAGATGATAGTTTCCAAAACAACAACTGTAAATGCTAGAAGCAGCTCATACGGATTTCAAAACAGGGAAAAGCAAATTAGTTGTTTATGCAGGGCTATGTCTTGCTTCAACAAAGCCGATCTCATCCTAGGAAAATTCTGAAGAGATTTTTTTTGAAAGAAAAAGGATCTATCCCTGGCAGAAGTGAAGTACTGAAGGGCTTCAGCATTTCTAAAAGGCCAACTAGCAAAAGAAGCTGCAACTTGGCTTAAAGCCCAGAAATTGAACAGTTGTTATTAAAGCAAAATTACCCATGCTTAAGAAGTCTCCATTGAGAATGCAAAATAAAGAAATACACTGCAGTTATTTGCTGTCTCAGAGACCAAATTTCATACTAAATTTAAGGTCACACAGTAATAAGGATTTGTAAAGCTATTTTGAAATGGCAAATTCCGAAAGTGAAGAGAATTTGTGCCCACTAGATCTATAATGAAGACATTTTAAAAGCGCTCAACTCAAGCTTAGGCAGCAGTGTTGCAGACCTGAGCTGAAGGGACCACAGGGCACAACCCTCACCTTTCCAGGTATTCTTTCATGTTGTCATAGCCGTAGAACTTGGCCAAATGGATGAGCATCCCTGTGGCACAGCGACCATCACGCTTGCGGCAGTAACTGCAGTTACACACACTGCGACAAGGAGGACAGATCCAGACCTGCAAGGAAGAATGGGGGTGTCATTAAAGGCCAGCTGTAGGTAGGGTTATACCATCCTCTGCACTGCTCTAACAGACAGGAGTATGGCTTCCTTTTTGCCTTGTTATTCAGGGTAATCAACAAGTCAGCCAAACTTGTTGCACTTTCCACATACTGCAGGATTAAAATAAGATCAATGCTACTCTGTTTGCTTCAATAGGTCTTAGTCTGCAAGCTCAAGCTCTCTGGATGACTTACTCATTATTAATTCAAAACAGACAAAAAGCACCTGTAATATTGCCTATCACTCTCAGGGTTTTGGATGTCTTTGGATGCACCTTTGAGAGACTGGGCATGACGATGTTAGATGGGACCAGAAGGGGCAGCAAGCTGAGTGGAGCAATTAGCAGAACTTTAAGCTAAATTCAATGGGGAAAGAGGACGTACTTTTAAGTGGCAGAGAAGAGCCAGTAAACATTGTCATTACAGGAAGCAGCAGCAAAAAAAAAACCCTCAGATTTGCCCCAGAGAAATGTGGGAGAGCTCCTCCAAGAAGGTAACATGGCCAACTGCCCAGTTGAAGCGCCTCTACAGCAATGCACACAGCACAGGGAATAAGCAGGAGGAGATGGAAACCATAGTGCAATTATAAAATTACAAACTAATTGCTACCAGGGAAACATGGTGGGATTTATCACAGAACTGGAATACCATGATTGAAAGCTACATGTATTGTAGAAGGGATAGACATTGGAAGAGGGCTGAGGGACTTGCCCTCTATGTTAAGAAGTGGACAGACTCTGAAGAGCTGCCTCTGAGAAACAGCCATGATCATGTGGAGAGATTTGGGCTAAAATTAGGGACCAGACCAAGAAAGGATATCTGGCTACAGTCTACCTACAGGACACTTGACCAAGGGGAGCTTGTGGAGAGGCCTTCCTGCTTCAGCTACAAGAATCACAGAATCATTAGCACTGAAAGAGACCTCTGGAGATCACATAGTCCAACCTCCCTGCTAAAGGTTTTCTAGAGCATGTTACATAGGAAAGTATCCAGGCGGCTGTTGAATATCTCCAGAGAAAGAAACTCTACAACCTACTTGGGAAGCTTGTTCAGTGCTCTGTCATCCTCAAAGTAAATAAGTTTTTTTTCCTTATGTTCACATGGAACATCCTGTGCTCCAGTTTGTTCTCATTATCTCTCATTGTCACTGGTTATCACTGAAAAGAGCCTGGCCTCATTCACTTGACTCCCACTCTTTATTTATAAGCATTGATAAGACCCCCTTCTCAGTCTTCTCCAGGCTGTAGAGTCCTAGGTCTCTTAAGTATTTCTTCATAAGAGAGATACTCTAGGCTCTTAATCATCTTAATGGCACTACACTGGACTCTCTCTAGAACTCTCCTGCTTTTCTTGAAATGAGGAGCTAAGAACTGGACACGCTACTCCATATGTGGCCTCACAAAGAGCAGAAAAGAAGGATCACCTCTTCTTAATGCACTGCAGGGTACCATTGGCCTTCTTGGCCACAAACGCACACGGCTGGCTTGTGGACAACCTGTTGCCCACCAGAACACCTAGGTCCTTCTCTGCAGAGCTCCTTTTCAGAAGTTAAGCTAAGTACAAAAAGATTGATTCTGCCAGATACCTTTATGTGCCCATGAGTCCCATTTTCTGGCTGTCGTATATGCATACTCCTTGCTCAGCATATCAGGGGAGTCAAAAAAAACAACTCTAAGACATTTAGGTACCCTCTTCCTTTTTTGTCACACAAATTTTTATCATCTAGAACCTGCTTGCTTTGCGGGCGACATTACTGAAATCATAAAAAGAAAGCACTTTTTGATCTTTTTCCATAAGGGGACAGATTTCTTTTCTCAAAAATTCTCATGCTTTCTCTCTCTGCTGTCTGGTAAGCAACTGGAGCTTGGAAGCACTAGGACAGATAAGCTGTAACATAGGTCCAATACTTCCCCCTTGCACTCCAACAAAAATCAGCATCAGTCCCAATGGTACTGCAGATCTTAGAGTAAAAGGCTTTAAACCACAACATTACTACAAGCATACATTCAGCACAGCTTAATACTAAATCATATTACTTATACTTTGTTCCCAAACCTGAAACAATACTTACTGGATCAAGCAGTGCTGATTTCACATCTTCCCCATATCTGTTTCGAAGACACGGTCCACAAAATTGCCCCCTCACACCTCCACAGCCCTTGTTGTGACAGATGGTCTTTGTATCAATTGTCTTTCGTCGACACTGGTGGCAAGTAGTGCCCTAAAAAAGTTGAGAAGGAGGAAAAATAAGCACGTGTGAAAGGCATCTTAAATGCTTAATTGGTTAACAATCCTAATACATCCGCTGATAGAAAAGCACAGACTTCAAACCAAACTAAAATTCAGCAATGAACATCTTAGTAAGAACTGTAAGTTTTGTCATTATTATAAATTACATAGTATCTCAGACGCTGGAGATTTTACAGAAACAGTGCCTGTCCTTAGCCTTAGAGTCTCAGACTCCATGCAGCTCATGCTACAGTTCTTATTCCCCACCCCAATTTGGCAGTGAGCTTACTTATGGTTATTGCATACTTAGAAAATGACTATCTCTGCTAATACAGCAGTGAAGAATAAAACACACAGTAAGATGATCTGCCAGCTTTTGACGACTATTAATAATAGCTAAATCAGATAAAGGAAAGGAAGGGTTCCAGCAACCTAGCTGGAAACTAGCCAACTCTTACAGAAATGTAGTTTCTTGAAGGTATAAAGGACAGCAAGGATCAATGGCATTTAGCTGTACAACCACAACAGCAACAATTAAATAAGAATGAAAGATAATAGGTTTTCAACTCTTATCAGTGAAGAGCCATAGCTGTAACAACTTCCATTTCATTCTATGGCAAGGAAGCATTTATTTGCAGAGGCAAAAATTTGTTGGGACAGCATTAATCAGCATGAGCAAGTCCACAGAAGACTGTCAACACTTTCAGGTCATGCTTGAGCAATACAGTAGCAAGAGCTATGCTCTACAGAACTTCAGGAAAGCACCTTTCAGCAAGCATCAGATATGCTGTTAGAAGACCGTTAATGGACACCGTACAGAAAATATTAGCCACTTACTAGAACTTTGTCATAGATTTTGTCTTTAACAGTGATTGCAATGTTGTCCAAGTCATCCTCAGTAATATCCTCCACTGGACACTAAGATGAATACTTTGATGATCCCCTCCTTTTGCGCACGCCACAATTCCCCTGTTAAACAAACTAATCTCAACACCTTTTGTCTGGTGGCATGAAGACTGTCACCACAAGTGATGACAAATTATGTCATTTATAATGCACATGTAACTTAGTGGGTATAGTCTACAGGCTCATGGATCACTGAAAGAACCGGGAGTAGATTTGAGCAACTATCCAAACCCACTGGCCTGTTTTCTCTCCCCTATTCCCCAGTCACTTCTCTACTCCACTTATTTGGTCTGTTTAGTTATCCCTTCTTACAGTTATCTCCTTGTTACTTCTGCTTCCACAAAGCCCATTTTTCTGCTGCTTTTCTTTGCATTCCCTGCACACCTCTACTAATTTCATACTACTTTCCTCACAAAATTAAATTATAGCCACTTGCCTTCCCCAAGCTTTGTTCATTTGGTTTCCTAGCATGTTCTCATATTGCTTTCACCACAGACAATCTCTAATATTCCACTAAAAATCTTTAGTTAAGTTTTAGTTTAGTCCAGCCTTTCATTATTATCTTGCTAGTTATGTGGAAAAGAGTCCTCTACTCACTACATGCTCTTTTTGTCTTTCATAGATTCTTTATAATCCTGAATCATGGATCATCATTATACCTATCAGGAGATTTCAATCATGTATGTGTCTCACCTAATCCTGAGCCTCCCCCCTACCCCATCTTTGTCTTTCATCTAAGTCAGATCTGCTTTTTCCAGAACAGAGCAATTTTCATTCCATGTTTTTTAGTGGCCAAGTTCCTGCTATAATTGTTCATCTATGGACAGTGCTTTGGGAACTGGGAATCCAGTCCCCAGAACATACAGATACAAAGTAAATCTTTTTCATAAAGACTATGTGGTAAATAAAGCCAAGACAAATGCAGATGGTTTGTTGGTGCAGATTCCCTTCACTCTCAGTTTAATTATGCAATTCCTAACCTCCCTCTGGTATTTCCAGAGAGGAGTTCTTGCTATTTTATGCTGAGTCTGAAGATTCAGAAGATTTGCTTTACCACTCCACTGTCTTGCCACTCAAATGCCTTATACATTTGAGTTCTAACAACTTTCAGACAACAAACACTAGAACCTAAGTAAACTGTCTTGTTATGCTTGGACAAGATAAATCACAACTAGAGCCAGAAAATGGATGAAAGTTGAGGCAGGAATGCCTGAAGCCAATTTCTATTGCTAATAACAAACCAAAGGTTCTTGTTAACTTCCTCCAGGAAGTGATGTCTACCCTAAGCACTGGCCAACAATCTATATGAACGTTCCTCTCTATGGAAAATATCAAAGTCGAGCAAATACCACACTCAGGCTCCTCTTCAAGAGGTTTTCTTGTTTATAGCTTTGCAAGTGTTCTGCAAATCTGACAGCCGACGTGGTAAATTTTTCCAAGGCAAATTTCTCAGGTGGACGAGCATTTCTGGTTGGGTTCATGCGACGTGTTATCTGGCCTTCAGAAAACGTCCTCCTTGGTATTTTCTTCTGTTTATAGAATCAGGAAAAAAAAAACCTAGTGATTGTAATTTCTAGTATTTTTCAGTTTCATTTGTAGTGTTAAACACCAGACAGATTTCAAAGTCTGCTGCACTAGCGCTTTTATGAATTCATTCTTCTTCCACTCCTTATCTGTTAAGCCACATTTATTATGTCGGTTAAGCCGACAATTTCTAGCAGATAGAAAATTTTCCCTACATGCTATACCTTTTTGCTCCTTTTAAAAGACCAGTTTTCACAGTCAGATTATATTTCAATTAACATCACAGAACTGTACCACAACTCTATGGATAGCATATTAAGCTTAAAGCTAGTTCTCACTGCTCTTCAGCAGCTGAAGGTTCGGAAGCTCCCTCAATACGAACAAACCTTTAATGAATAAACCAAAGTCCAGGCTTTCTTCCATATTTTTCATCTTAAAGGGTCACGGAAACAGCATGAATAAATCTCCTCTTCTACATTCCAATGAATGGCAACAATCTCTTGATATTATCAGACTTAATAATTATGGAATAACTGAATTCATGCAACAGGAGTCCTGCATGGGCCACCTACCGTAAAATTATCCATAAAAGTGTCACTCTGCTACATCCGGCAGCTTTACAAGAACAAGATGAAAGAAGTTATATCTGCTTGCCATCATATTTCCTTAGCAAGAAGTGAACGACACTTTACAAGAAGAGAGGTTGGAAGTCAAAAAACAAGCAGAAAGGAAACTAGAACATTCCTGATGCCTTTTTGACCCCTCAAATAAGGACAATAAATGAAAGTAACATGCTATGGAAATATAACCATTCCTTGAATACACAGACACACATTTAGCCACAGCTAAATTCAAGATTTGCACAGACTTCGTAATTCTGATTCACATTACCACTGTCACACAGCAGCATTTACATGCTGGTTTTCTGAAGACATGGCTCTTCAATTTTACTTTACATCTCTTCAGTTTGTAATGTGAAAAAACATTACAGACAGTAATCTACTTCTGGCTAAGAAAAACTACAGTATCACTACCCTAGTTTCATGTTGAACTGGTTGAATTTTATCAGCATTGGGAAGTGTGGATTTTAAGAGAAAAGTAAAAAGAAAAATTAGCTGGGAAATGTAAAGGATCTAAACACAAAGGAAAGCAATTTTCCTAATTTGCACAAATGCAGGTATCTGTCTAGTATCTCAAAAGAATTTCCGTGACAAAAATTATTAAGTAGCATCTAATCCTGGTCTCCATAGTTCTTCATACAATTATCTTATAAAACACCATTTCCTCACAAAAGCTTCAGTATTTGAATAATACCAAGAGCAAATCCAAAACAAAGTAACCAGAACCAAGGAAAACCCAAACAGAAGTTGGTGAAAGTGTTTTATCAAGAAGCATATTAATCAAAAGTCTAGCATAAATATCCATCAGCTCTAACCAGTGCACAGAGTCTTACCGAAGGAGTTGAGGCAGGTGTCTGCACTGGGAAAAGGTCAGGATTGGAATTCAGTTCTGCTAGTAACTGGGCAAGCTGAAAGAAATAGTAATATCATATTGAAAAGTCACTACAAACTTGCATATTTTTGACACGCATCATCCAGTCTTTGCATGCACTCTGAGAAATACTTGAACGTATTAAATTTCAGCACATGAAACATTTCAATAGGCACTTAAATAAAGTGGGGCTCAAAAAAGGGGCTCATTCATGTACGAGTGAAAAAAAATTCCACAGTTTTGCAACTTCACAGCTTCCATTAATTCTTACTGGAACACGGCAGCTAACATTACATTCAATCTTGTCAAAACAGCACTGAAAAAGAGTATCCTCAAAACTAATCAAGTTTACAGTGGTAAAATTGGAATTAAAAGGAAGGGTGGAAGCAGACCCAAGATTTGTACAAAGAGTGCCTGGAGGCTACAACACAACCTGGAACAATGCAAAACTGGAGGATTCACAAAAGATCCAAAATCAACAGACTACAGTGCTGGATTTGCACACCACCGTGAAAATTAAGAGATCTAGTGGAATTTTAGACAGGGGGAAAAGCAATTGGCAATTATCAGTCTTGCTTCTCCCTTATCTACATACACACTTTCAGTACTAGCAGTAAAGTATAATTAAACACCACATTCCACATAATTGAAAACTTATATTTATAATCCTTAGCAGTTTTGGGCAGGCTTTCCAACCAGTGAGTACAGAAGACCCCACAGATACAACAGGAAAGTAGAAACTCTATTGAATAAACAGCAAGAATGACCTGAAGGAACCCGATGGCTTGCTGACAGGTTCCAAACATAAGCCTGTAACATGGATACCTGTAACAGTGTTCACAGTACTGTTACAGTGCCCTTTAGTCTTACCATGGCTTTATTTTCTTTAATATTCATATCTCTTTTAAGGAGAGCACTGGAATTTTCTTCTTGTGTTTCTTTCATGTCTTCTTCAGATTCTGAAGCAGAGCCCTCTAGTTTGTCCCATCGCTTGCAATTTCTTTCTTTTGAAAGAGCAGTGGAGGGTTTACTGTCCTTTAATGGTAGCTTAGGAAAAGCTTGTTCAGGCACTTTTTTCTCAGAAGACTTCCTGGTTGGAAACTGCAAGGCAACACGAAGACCAACGCTTCTTCTTTTGAGAGATACTTTCTTCTTTGCCTCTTCCTCCTCTTCTCCTTCAGTACCCAATAAATTACCATGTTCTTCATCACTCAAGTCTGACACCATCGCCTATGGGCAGGAAGAACCATGTTATATTTGCTGCTATGACACAAAATGTTATTTTTAATCACTAATTCTAGGCAGCAGTTTCAAATTCCAAGTGCTACAAAAATTCACCCAAATCAACAGGTTTTACAAAGCTAGCAGCATTCAACTTCCCCCAACACAAAGTCTGCACATTAATGCTCAGATACTACAAACAGGGCTATCAGGAACAGTATTGCCTAGCAGTCAGCATACAAGGAGGGGGAGTTCTCATTTCTAATATGAGATACTGCACTCAATGGGTGGGTTTTTTTCCCCTCTTTCAATATAATACGTATATTACAATATTCTTCAGGCTGTATAATGAACATCACGGTGCATCGCTAACACTGACTATAAGATAGAAATTTACACAGAGAAAAAAAGGAAAAAAACATCAACATATACATACTGCCTTTACTGGAACTGCTTTCCTCTTCACATCCTCCCCACTAGAAGCAAAGCCTTCAAATGCATCAGTTTCAGAATCAGTGTCTTCAGTGAAAATCTTCTTCAGCTCTTCAGTAAGGTATCTGGACTGGTATCGAATGCCCTGTAAAAATACCAGCCAGCTATAAGAAACCGTCATACACAAAATAGTGACTAGTTAGAATGAACATGTTCAGAGGCTTAATCAAGTACCAACTAGATGATATATGCCGTGCAGACACATTGCAAGCAAAGCTTGTCAAAAGAAGAAAATAAGTAGAAAACATTCAGAGTTTCAGCTTTGAGTTATTGTAACTTATTGAGTTGGGTTTTTTGGTCATTTTGAGCACAAGACTAACTGAGCTTGGTCTGATGGCAGAAACTTGATTACTTTGTCCTCTACTACTACACAGTAAAAATAAACTACCAGTTTTCTTGTTTATAAATTATGAGTTTGTTGTGTTTGTCTCTTCTGGGTGCAAAAAAAAAAAAAAAAAAAAACAAGCCTTAAATGGCTTTGTATTGAAAATATTAAAGAAAAAGAAAAGAAAACTGAGCCACAAGCACAGGAAGAAAGAGTCCTCCCTTTTTACTTCACAGAAGAAACAGAACTCTTTTCTGGGTTTGCCACAGAAGTGCTAAAGGCTCCCGAAGATGGAGTTTGTTCCTTCTTACACTGTTACACCATTACTGAAGCAACAGATAACTACAAAAGAAAAAAAAAAGCACTCAGTAGTCTAACTAAAATCCCTCCACCTTCCAAGTGCTCAGCTTCCCTTTAGCAGTGCAGTTCACTTTCACTGTTCACGAGTTCTAGACTGACCCCAGATTCTACCCCCAGACTAGGAAATGAAATGCCAGTCCCCAGTCTGGGGAGGCTGCACGTCAAGAGTGTCTGCCTGCCATTTTGGATTGGCGCGTCGGCGTCTTCCTCCTTCCACGAAGGAGCCTGCACGGTGCGCTGGGTCCAGCGTGCTACACGGCCCTGCCTTCTGCTGCCTGCCTGCCTGCCTGCGTGCTGCACTGCTGGAGAGGAAAGAGCGGATTGTGGGGCTGCGTGCAGCCAAGGAGCTGGCTGCAAAGGAGGGAAACGGAGTATTGAGGAGCGGTTAGTGCGTGTGAGGTTTGGGTGTGGATGCAGCGGGGCTGAGTCACTTCCATCAGCTCCTCGGGGCTGGGGCCGAGCCCGGTGCGTGGGGCTGCGCTGCGGGCAGGAGGGCTGCGGGGCTGGGGCAGTGGTGTGGCTGCAGCACATGGGGCCGTGAGAGGGCGTGCAGCAGGGAGGGCGTTGGGCCCGAGCCGCGCTCGTGTTTGCCGCAGCACAGGGGCTGCAGGGGATGGCAGGAGCGCAGAGCAGAGCGGGGAGAGGCGGGCTGTGTGAAGGCCAGGGCATGAAGTCTTCCCTTGGCAGCTACGGAGCTGCTGGGCTTTTCCCCCAAGTCTTCAGACTGTGGGGTGATAAGGCTCCGCAGCAAAGCCAGCCGAGCCCTCCTGAGACCTGGGGGTTAGGAAAGGGCAAAACAAATCAGTCTTTCAAGAGCACAAAGCGGTGAAGCACAGCACAAGCCATTTATTGCCTGCATAGGTGATCTTCTCCAGGCATGTCCATTGCAGATGTGCAGACTGAGTGTGGACAGAAAGCAAACGGAGGGGAGGGGAGGGGAATGGGGGGGAGGGGAGGGAAGGGGACGACAGTAAGAAATGAAAGGAAAGAGAAAGGGAAATGTGAAGGGGAAGAGAGAAAGAGAAAAGGAAAGGAAGAGAAAAGAGAAGCAAGGCAAAGAAAAGCAAGGCAAAGGAAAGCAAAAGGGGGAAAAGGGAAAAGGCAGAAAAGGAGAAGAAGACAAGTTGCGTGCCGCCGGCGCCACCCGAGGGGAATCCGGCAGCGGACCCCGCCAGCTGCCCGTCCCCCTCCTCCAGGCCCCGGGCCGCCCCCAGGCCGCCCTCAGCAACGCGACGCCGCCGGCGGTTGGTAGGGCCGGGGCAGGAAGTGGTTCCTGGCGGCGGAGAGCACTTCCGGGGCAGCGCGGCATGGCGGCGCCGGGCCGGTGAGCGGGGCCGGGAGGAGCGGGCTGTGTGCTGGGAACGGGGTCGGGCCTCGGTGCGGGGCCATGGAGGGGCGCTCGGGGGAGGAGCTGGCGGTGCTGCCGGCACGCAGAGGCGATGCGTGCGGCGCCGGCGGGTGGTGCGGGGTCGGGGGGCGGCTTCCTCTCAGGGAAGGCCGTGCGAGTGCGGAGCTGTGTTGGTGTTTGGGGCGTGTGAAGGAGGAGGCCCCGTAGGGCCGAGTTGTCGCCAGCAAAGCCCGGGCGGGCAGTGGAGCAAGGCGCCCGGGCGCTGTGTTGGCCGGAGGGTGCGGAGCTGGCAGAAGGTTTGTGAAGATGTGCTTCGTCTGGACGTCCGTTGTCGGGACGAGCCAGGGCTGCAGTTGTGTGTGATTGTGTTGGTTGCTTGGGAGAACTGCTGCCTTAGTGGGCTGGGGGGAGGGAGAGGGAGATTTTCGGACTGCCATCAGTCAGGAGCACGGCACGTTTCTGTTAGAAAACCCCAGATTTAAGGAAAAAAAACAGGGATTTCAGGCAGAAAAAGCCTTATTTCAGAGGAAAAACCCCAGATTTAATGGGAAGAACAGGGATTTCTAGGAGAAAAAGGCATATTTAAAAGGAAAACCCCCAGATTTTAGTGGGAAAACAGGCATTTCTAGCAGAAAAAGCCATATTTAAGGGGAAAAACCCCAGATTTAAGGGGAAAAACAGGGATTTCTGTGAGAAAATCCTGATTTGATAGGAAAAACACTCTTTTATTGCAGAAAAATCCATATTTATAAGGGGAAAAACCAGGGATTTCTGGCAGAGAAAGCCTTATTTAAGGGGAAAAACCCCAGATTTTAGGGGAAAAGCAGGGATTTCTAGGAGAAAAAGCCATATTTATTGGGAAAAACCCAAGATTTAAACAGAAAAACAGGGATTTATGGTAAAAACCTCAGATTTAAGGTGGAAAACAGGGATTTCTAGCAGAAAAGGCCATATTTAATGGCAAAAAAAAATGAGATTTAATGAGAAAAACAGGGATTTCTAAGAGAAAAAGGCATATTTATGGGCATATACCCGAGATTTAAGGGGAAAAGCAGGGATTTCTAGCTGAAAAAGCCATATTTGAGGGGAAAAATCCCATATTTAATTGGAAAAACAGGGATTTCTGGCAGGAAAAGCCATATTTGTGGGGAAAAATCCCATATTTAAGGGGAAAAACAGGGATTTCTAGCTGTAAAAGCCATATTTAAGGGGAAAAAGCCCTGATTTGAGGGGTATAACAGGGATTTCTTGCAGGAAAAGCCATATTAAATGAAAAAACCCAGATATAATTGGAAAAACAAGGATTTCTGGGAGAAAACCCCAGATTTAAGGGGAAAAACAGGGATTTCTAGCAGAAAAAGCCATATTTAAGAAGAAAAACAGGGATTTTTTTGCAGGAAAAGCCATATTTAAGGGGAGTAACACCAGATTCAAGTAGGAAAAGCAGGGATTTCTAGCAGAAGAAGCCATATTTAAGAGGAAAAACCCAGATTTAAGGGGAAAAAACTTTCATTTGTAGCAGAAAAAGCCATATTTAAGAGGAAAAAACGTGGATTTAGGGGGAAAAACAGGGATTTATGGTAGAAAACCCCAGATTTAAGGGGAAAAAAAACAGGGATTTCTGGCAGAAAAAGCCATATTTAAGGGGAAAAACCCAGGTTTAAGAAGAAATGGAAGCCGGGGCTGCTGTCTCCCCGCAGGCAGGCGCTTTCAGCTCCACTCTGGAGCGCGCCGTTGTTTGCGCTGACCTCAGGAGATCCCTGAGCGTGCCCTGAGTGTTGTGTGCTGCGTGGCCCAGCCCCAGAAGGGGATTCCCACGTGGCAGGAGGGAGAGGGCGAAGGAGGCCGAGGGCCCTTTCCTCGGCTTTGGCTCCTCTGTGCCCTCTTGCTCGCCGCAGAGAAGGGCTGCCCGCTGGGCACAGGGAGCGCCTTCTGGCCACCGTGCCGTGTCCTCCAGCCCCCTGCTCATCCCGTGCAGAACGCCACTCCCAGCAGCAGCACAGGTGCCATTGTGGAACCTTCCTCATATCACAGCCGTCACCTTGGTCACTGCTGCCCCACTCGGCGCACTCATCTCTGAGCGTGCTGGGCAGGTGGCAGCCATGTCCAGCACGAAGAGAGCGAGAGCTGAGGAGAGCATAGTTCTAAATGGGAAGAGGGAGCTGGGGGCCCCAGAACCGATGAGGAGGAGGGGGCCCACCATGACCATCAGGCAGCGGAGGGAGAGGAGGAAGGGAGCCCGGTTCCATCGTGCCCAGGCCAGCGATGTGAGCGACCATGGGGAGCCCATGGAGGTGGATCCACCTCTGGATGAGCCCATGGAGGTGGATCCGCCTGCGGCACAGCTGGCCTGGCACCACACCACCGTGCCAGGCCCCATGTTGGTGCGCTCACAGCTCCGCCATCGCTGGTCCGGGCGCTCGGCTCCTTACCCTCTGCGCAGCCCCCGGCATTAGCTGGGTGGCATTGCTAACATCTGCTCCTCCTCCACCTTGTTGCTCCTCTGCGGTTCTGCGGGCCCCCGGTTCCATCTTCCCCCTGTAGGAGTTAGGTGCCACTTCTGGGCTTTGTTGTTGATTTTAGTGTTAGCTTAGTTTTAGTGTTCAGTTCAGTTTTAGCGTTCGGCAAAGGTTCCTGTTAGGAGGTCAGAGTTGGGCAGAGGTTCCTGTTAGGAGGTTAGAGTTAGGCAGAGGTTCCTGTTAGGAGGTTAGAGTTGGGCAGAGGTTCCTGTTAGGAGGTTAGAGTTAGGCAGAGGTTCCTGTTAGGAGGTTAGAGTTAGGCAGAGGTTCCTGTTAGGAGGTCAGAGTTGGGCAGAGGTTCCTGTTAGGAGGTTAGAGTTGGGCAGAGGTTCCTGTTAGGAGGTTAGAGTTGGGCATAGGTTCCTGTTAGGAGGTTAGAGTTAGGCAGAGGTTCCTGTTAGGAGGTTAGAGTTGGGCAGAGGTTCCTGCTCCCAAGTGGCAGTAAATGCTGCTCACTCGGTAAGCCCTCCCAGAGTTCTCATGCAGAGAAATGAGTGCGACTGCCCTGAGAAGGGAGGTTTGAGGACGTCTGCGATGAACTGAATTTCTGTCTTGTGACTGTTGCAGAACATCGAGGCATGTGAGTGGCTGAGAAATGGAGTTGGGGCTCAGGGGAGCAATGGAGCAACGGGTGCCTGTGTCACAACCTTCCTGAGCGGCCCTTGCAAGGTAGGTGTGCCTTACTGTGAGCGTGCGCTAAGGCACTGCTGTTCAAACACAGCTGGTGGCACTGTCTGCAGCAGGTCTGCTTTCTGTTAAGCTCTGCCCTTCTTTTATGCCCACCTGTCCTTTTCAGCTCCTGCTCCCCTCGCCTGCAAGTGGAGCAATGCTCAAGTTTGAGGAATCATTTCCTCTGCAGGCGGTAAAAGACGACGCAGCTGCAAGTTTCGTGTCCTTGTTTGTCATTGGGTCAGTAGAGCAAGGAGATGCTCAGAACAGCTCTAAGTGCGCCTGTCACAGCAGTGTGCGCGAGAGAATAACGACTCCTTCTCCCCTCTTGTAGAAAGCAGCCTCCTTGAGAGCAGGAGAGCAGCGGGCTGCCTGCTGTGTGGTGCTGAAGGGCATTTCTCCCAGCTGAGATCCCCAAGCCCACGCTGGCGGAGAACGTGCTGCGCCGCGGTCTCTTCTGCGGAGCCGCTTTGCAGCTGCTCTGTGCGCTGGCTGTAATCGTGCCGGTTTCCAGGTGCCATAAGCCAGTAAGTCGTGCTCTCTGAGGCTGATAGAAAGGCACGGGCAATGGGCAGGGAGAGAACAATCTGCAGCTGTGGCCTACGGTGCTGTGCCCCAGCACTGCTGAGAGTGCCGTTGTTTGTCCTGCCCTTCCTTCCGTGTGCGCGTGTTCCTGATGCGCACCAGGAGCCTTGGGGTGCAAGCTCATCTGCTGCTTCTGCTGCTGTGCTGTGTGTGCTGCCAGGCAGTGTCCAAGCCGTGTGCAGGCGCTGCCTTGCAGGAGATGGCTTTGGGTTCCAGTTCGTATGGGACTTTGGGGAAGGAGATAGAGGTGGAGTTTCCGGCGTGCCCTGATGGCAGGAAGGCGGTTTCCAGTGCTGGCAGCCAAAGCTGCCCGGGCGGGTGACTTGAGCTCCCCAAGCGAGCCGTCAGCCACTTGTTACCTGTGAAGGTTCCCTGACCTTGATTCTTGTAGGACTGGCACAGTCTTGGGACTCAGTCTGGCGAGGCAATGAAGAAAGCCAAGGCAAGTGCTGCTCTGCTGAGGAAGAAAGCCCAGAAGGAGAGCAAAAAGAACCAAGCAGGGCTTGAGCGAGAAGGCCCACAGGACACTGGGATCAGCTGGAATGCTTCCTCGGAGGTGTCACCAAAGGCACCCTCTCAGAACGAGTGCCTTCGGGTCAGCAGCGCGCCGTGGCCTCTGATTGGTGGAGCCGGCGGCGCATGCGCGCGGGGCGTTAGTGGGCGTTGAGGCGGCGGGTCGCCATGGTGAGAGATGCGGTGGGGCCGGGGCAGCTCCTCAGGCCGTGCTGCGCGGCTTCGGTTTTCAGCGCCGTCCGGGCCTGCTGGGGCGGGAACTGCGCCGCCGGGATCGCTAGGGAGCTGCTGCGGGGCGCGTGGGGGCTCTGGGGCGGCCGGCACCGCCCGAAGCCGTGCGGGGGAAGGCCGTGGCGCTGCCCTGCACCGCTGCGATGTGTGAACGCCGGGGATTCTGGGCCGGCCGCCGGCCCGACCGTTGCCGCGTCGCCGCGGTTGACCCCCCTCAGAACGAGTGCTTTCGGGTCAGCAGCGCGCCGTGGCCTCTGATTGGTGGAGCCGGCGGCGCATGCGCGCGGGGCGTTAGTGGGCGTTGAGGCGGCGGGTCGCCATGGTGAGAGATGCGGTGGGGCCGGGGCAGCTCCTCAGGCCGTGCTGCGCGGCTTCGGTTTTCAGCGCGGTCCGGGCCTGCTGGCGCGGGAACTGCGCCGCCGGGATCGCTAGGGAGCTGCTGCGGGGCGCGTGGGGGCTCTGGGGCGGCCGGCACCGCCCAAAGCCGTGCGGGGGAAGGCCGCGGCGCTGCCCTGCACCGCTGCGATGTGTGAACGCCAATGCGCGCGGGGCGTTAGTGGGCGTTGAGGCGGCGGGTCGCCATGGTGAGAGATGCGGTCGGGCCGGGGCAGCTCCTCAGGCCGTGCTGCGCGGCTTCGGTTTTCAGCGCGGTCCGGGCCTGCTGGCGCGGGAACTGCGCCGCCGGGATCGCTAGGGAGCTGCTGGGGACGCGGGGCGCTGGGGCGGCCGGCACCGCCCAAAGCCGTGCGGGGGAAGGCCGCGGCGCTGCCCTGCACCGCTGCGATGCGTGAACGCCGGGGATTCTGGGCCGGCCGCCGGCCCGACCGTTACCGCGGCGACGCGGTTGACCCCTCTCAGAACGAGTGCCTTCGGGTCAGCAGCGCGCCGTGGCCTCTGATTGGTGGAGCCGGCGGCGCATGCGCGCGGGGCGTTAGTGGGCGTTGAGGCGGCGGGTCGCCATGGTGAGAGATGCGGTCGGGCCGGGGCAGCTCCTCAGGCCGTGCTGCGCGGCTTCGGTTTTCAGCGCGGTCCGGGCCTGCTGGCGCGGGAACTGCGCCGCCGGGATCGCTAGGGTGCTACTGGGAGCCGCGGGGGGCGCTGGGGCGGCCGGCACCGCCCGAAGCCGTGCGGGGGAAGGCCGTGGCGCTGCCCTGCACCGCTGCGATGTGTGAACGCCGGGGATTCTGGGCCGGCCGCCGGCCCGACCGTTGCCGCGTCGCCGCGGTTGACCCCCCTCAGAACGAGTGCCTTCAGGTCAGCAGCGCGCCGTGGCCTCTGATTGGTGGAGCCGGCGGCGCATGCGCGCGGGGCGTTAGTGGGCGTTGAGGCGGCGGGTCGCCATGGTGAGAGATGCGGTCGGGCCGGGGCAGCTCCTCAGGCCGTGCTGCGCGGCTTCGGTTTTCAGCGCGGTCCGGGCCTGCTGGCGCGGGAACTGCGCCGCCGGGATCGCTAGGGAGCTGCTGGGGACGCGGGGCGCTGGGGCGGCCGGCACCGCCCAAAGCCGTGCGGGGGAAGGCCGCGGCGCTGCCCTGCACCGCTGCGATGCGTGAACGCCGGGGATTCTGGGCCGGCCGCCGGCCCGACCGTTACCGCGGCGACGCGGTTGACCCCTCTCAGAACGAGTGCCTTCGGGTCAGCAGCGCGCCGTGGCCTCTGATTGGTGGAGCCGGCGGCGCATGCGCGCGGGGCGTTAGTGGGCGTTGAGGCGGCGGGTCGCCATGGTGAGAGATGCGGTCGGGCCGGGGCAGCTCCTCAGGCCGTGCTGCGCGGCTTCGGTTTTGAGCGCGGTCCGGGCCTGCTGGCGCGGGAACTGCGCCGCCGGGATCGCTAGGGAGCTGCTGCGGGGCGCGTGGGGGCTCTGGGGCGGCCGGCACCGCCCGAAGCCGTGCGGGGGAAGGCCGCGGCGCTGCCCTGCACCGCTGCGATGTGTGAACGCCAGGGATTCTGGGCCGGCCGCCGGGCCCGACCGTTACCGCATCGCCGCGGTTGACCCCTCTCAGAACGAGTGCTTTCGGGTCAGCAGCGCGCCGTGGCCTCTGATTGGTGGAACCGGCGGCGCATGCGCGCGGGGCGTTAGTGGGCGTTGAGGCGGCGGGTCGCCATGGTGAGAGATGCGGTCGGGCCGGGGCAGCTCCTCAGGCCGTGCTGCGCGGGTTCGGTTTTCAGCGCGGTCCGGGCCTGCTGGGGCGGGAACTGCGCCGCCGGGATCGCTAGGGTGCTACTGGGAGCCGCGGGGGGCGCTGGGGCGGCCGGCACCGCTCGAAGCCGTGCGGGGAAGGCCGTGGCGCTGCCCTGCACCGCTGCGATGTGTGAACGCCGGGGATTCTGGGCCGGCCGCCGGCCCGACCGTTACCGCGGCGAAGCGGTTGACCCCTCTCAGAACGAGTGCTTTCGGGTCCGCAGCGCGCCGTGGCCTCTGATTGGTGGAGCCGGCGGCGCATGCGCGCGGGGCGTTAGTGGGCGTTGAGGCGGCGGGTCGCCATGGTGAGTGATGCGGTCGGGCCGGGGCCGCTGCTCAGGCCGTGCTGCGCGGCTTTGGTTTTCAGCGCGGTCCGGGCCTGCTGGGGCGGGAACTGCGCTGCCGGGATCGCTAGGGTGCTACTGGGAGCCGCGGGGGGCGCTGGGGCGGCCGGCACCGCTCGAAGCCGTGCGGGGGAAGGCCGTGGCGCTGCCCTGCACCGCTGCGATGTGTGAACGCCGGGGATTCTGGGCCGGCCGCCGGCCCGACCGTTACCGCGTCGCCGCGGTTGACTCCTCTCAGAAGGAGTCCTTCCGGGTCAGCAGCGCTCTGTGGACTCTGATTGGTGGCGCTGGCGGCGCATGCGCGCGGGGCGTTACTGGGCGTTGAGGCAGCGGGTCGCGATGGTGAGTGATGCGGTCGGGCCGGGGCCGCTCCTCAGGGATTAAGGTTTTGTTTGCTGCTCTGATTCAGTTCGTGATGTTTTTCTGGGTGATGTTTTTGTTGGCCCGGTGGATGGCAGGGGCTGAGTGTGGTGTTGGGGAGGAGTCTCCTCTGTGTGCAGCTCCGGAAGACATCCCTGAACAAACAGCTGTGAGCTGCCAGAGCTGCTCCCCCTCCTCTGAGTTGGGTTAACTGCTGGTTGGTAGAGGAGATTCAAAGTCAGCGTAGTTCTGTCTGGATGCTTCTTGGCACCAAAGCAGATTTGTTGAGATCTGTTTAGGTATTTGATGACTTTGGGCTCAGGTGTATTTATGAAGAAGACAGGACGGTTTTTCAGATGAAACAAAGAGTTCCATCTGAACAGAGCCTCTGTTTGTCACTCAGCATTTTCACACCCTGTAGTTATCTGGGCTTTTTTTCTCTTTCCTTGTCTCCCAAGTGGAAGCTGTCCAGCATTCAGAAGAAATCAAGGCCTCCGCCAAAGCAATTACAGTTTTTTGATTATTTTTTTTTTCTGTGTAGGATAATAATTCTGCTTTGTCAAAAGAAGCTCAGGTGGTGCTGTGTGATCATAGCAGCAGTCTGCATTACTCTGAAAGCTCCCAAAGCCCCGTGGAAGGTTTGCTGGCAGTTCTTAGGCTGAACTAATGCTTTTTTTTGCTGACACAAATCACCTCTCCCAGCTGGGGAGGTGGGCAGGGGGTTACTCACGGTGCCTGACAAATGCAGCCCCGTTGCCACGTGCCCCTTGTAGCTCTGGCCTTTCCCATGACTTTAGCTGATTCTTTTGTTCTGTGCCAGGTCTTGCAGGATCTGAAATGTGCAGCACGCCTCTGTTTCCTTTACAGGGAACCAAAAACATAAAAACCGATGCTTGGGCCTTCAGTCATCTTTTTTTCTTTTATCTCTGGGGGAGCTGATTTTCCAAAGTAGTGATCCCTACACCAACAATAATTCTAAATAAAGAGCACGGATCATAGGATGGCTTGGGTTGGGAAAAAGCCCATCAGGATCATCAAGTTCCAACCCCTGCCACAGGCAGCACCACCAACCTCCAGATCTGGCACCAGACCAGGCTGCCCAGGGCTCCATCCAACGTGGTTTTGAACACCTGCAGAGATGGGGCACCCGCAGCCTCTCTGGGCAGCTGCTCCAGCACCTCACCACTCTCTCTGGAAAGAACTTCCCCCTGATATCCAAAATGAGTGGAAACCAACTAAAAAGACCAGGCAGAGAAAATAGTACTGAAGCACGCAGTGCTTTCTGGAAAGGTGCAGGCCGTGTCTGTGTGTCATCTTTGTGCATCTTTACTGTCAGGCACATTGTTGTGAGGCTTTAGTTGAAGGCAACCAGCACCTGTGATCTTTTGATTTGCGCTTTCTGTTTTTTGCAGGCTGAGGTAGAAGAAACGCTGAAGCGAATTCAGAGAGCGAAAGGAGTGCAAGGAGTCATTGTTGTTAATCCTGGAGGTACTGTCAGTCTGTTTTCTCAGATCATAACTTACACCGCTCGTGCTTTTTAAGGAGTTGCAGTTGATGTCTCTCTCAGCAGAGATTTTCCTGTGCTTAAGCTCAGCTTGTTAAAATTGTGTGTCAGTTTAAGCCAAATGTTTTCTAGAAATAATCCTTAGAAAACATGGCAGACGTTTCCACTCTCCCCCTAAAACACTTATTTTTGTTTTTATTTATCTGTTTATACATCTGAGATGAATAACTGGCAAAGCAAAAGGAAACCACAGAGGCTAGTAGAGGGAAGCGGTTATTCTCACCTTCATGTGTGGTTGCAGAACTTAACCTCTCTGTCTTATTTCTGTTCATGCTCTTCTTTTAAGCTTTCAAAAGAGCACTCCTGCTCCCACCCCCCTGTTTTAGCTCTCTGACCCATAGTCAGGTTCACTGGCCACTGCAGTTGGATACGGTGATACCTGGAGGGAGTTGGTTCAAAAGCTGTGTTACTGACCCTTGCTGTCCCCGTGGTGGCTTCTTGCAGGTATTCCTATCAGAAGCAATATGGACCACACCACAACCATTCAGTATGTTGGCCTAATGAACAGCTTAATCATGATGGCAAGGAGCGCCGTTCGAAACATCGATCCCCGAAATGACCTCAGCGTCCTGCGGGTCCGCTCCAAGAAAAATGAAATCATACTTGTTCCAGGTAAGAGGAGCAATTGTAATGTCTGCTAATTGAAAGTTACTGCTTCTCCTGTGATGTCCTCCAACCGAGAGGTCCAGGCAAACCAAGATCTGTTGCTGTTGTTAAATGCTGAGGCAGAAAAGGCGTTAGACGTCTCCACCTGTGAGGTGATCTTTCACCCCAAGTATCAGTCCCCTGTTTTCCTTTGACCTCCTCTTGCTGCTGACAAACCTGCAAAAGCCTTTTTGTTGTCTCACACCACACTGCTCAGCATCAACTCAAGCACAGCTTTGGCTTTTCTTGTTTTCTCCCTGCAGATCCGAACTGCAGCTCTGTACTTTCCCTCTGAAACCAGACCTTGCTTCCAGATGCTGTGTGCTTTCTTGTTTTGCCCCAGTTCCAGGTGTTCCCTCTTCATCCAGGCCAGCTGCCCCGCTTGCTTGGCACATGGCACAGTGAGATTGCCTGCTCCCAGGCTTTTGAAAGGTGTTTCTTGAGAAGTGACTAGCTCTCGTGGGCCCCTGGATACTGGAGAGCAGAATTGTAGGGGACACTGCTAATTTGCTCCCTGAGAAGCTTAAAGTTTGCTCTCTTTAAAAGTTCGTGGTGGCAATTCTGCCTTTTTTTTTCCTCCTTGCACTAAAAATTTTGAACTCAACCACTTCATGATCCCTGTGGCCACGACGGCTGCCTGCTGTCACAGCTCCCATAGGGCCTTCCCTCTTCGTAGCTGAAGTGCAGGAGGGCTTCTGTCCTGGCTGGCTCACTCAGTACCTGTGAGTACTCGTTCCACTTCTGGCTCAGAGGAAAGGATTTTAACTTGTAGCTGTACTGGGTCACAGAATGTGGCAGCAGCCTTCTTTCTGGAGATACTCCTGGGCATTTCGGCCAGCTATGAAACAGGGATGAGTTGCATTAATGGTGCAAGAACTCAGCTTTGTTCCTTTGGACTGTAGTGGCATTCTGCTGGTGGGGAGGCAAAGCAGGAGGCTGGTGCTCCAGCAGGCAGCTGTGCAGGAGCTGGTGGGAGCAGTGCTTGGGGAAGAGGCTCTGGGGTTTGTGCTGGTGCATCCCCTCATTTCCATACGAAAGGTGGAAAGAGAAATAACCATTACTCCAGAACAAACGCAGCTGGAACCCCTTCGGTCCTGCAGCCTGGCTGTGAGATATGGGAAATCGCTGTCTTGCGCTGCCTGGTTTGCTTCAATCATTGCACGTGTCAGTTATTCTCATTTATTAGGGATGAACGGTGTTAAATGTGGCTCTTGAGCACGTGAGACTTTTCCACCACGAGACTCAGATAAGGGATCCAACACGTCAAACCTGTTCTGATCACTGGGGATGAATGTCAGGACAGCGTGTCAGTGAGATACCAGAAAGAGACAAAGCTGGAAGTTCCTGTATTGAGCAACAGGGATGCTTTTCTTTGTGAATAAGTATCAACAATGAGAGAATAATTTGTTTTTTTTTCTTTTCCCTTCCAGAAAATGACTACCTCTTGATTATCATCCAGAATATAAACGCATGATTCCACTCACGTGATCTGCTTTATTCCCTTTGCCCAACTTTCTTTTTTTAATTTAATGCTAAAGAGTAGAGCTCTGGTATTAACTCTGCTGTGCCACTTCTGCGATGTTTTGGAGGAACCAAAGCAGGTGTTCTTGTTTGTATGCTTTTTACATATAGAAAAAATGGCTTCTTTTGGGATCACTCATCATTTTGAGAAGGAAATGGTGAATTAGAACCTGGTGACCTTGGCAGTGAAAAAAAGTAAAAAATGCAACAGATGCTTTTAATAGTTGACAAGATAACATAAAAAACCCTAGTAACGTTCTGCAAGATTATTCTCTGTACGTTTCCATGATCCTGTCGCCATTATTAGAGTTGAGCTCTTACACTGTTACTTTTGAATGACTAAATATGAAACCTTCCTGTCCTGTTGTTCTCTCTTATTTTCTAAGTTACTTGAAAAAGTCTGGTCACAATAAATTTAAAAAGTGTCATCAGTGATGGCTTTTGTCTGGTTTTTCCTTGTCTTGTAAGGAATTCAGTTATTGTCACAATTGTTTTTTGTTTTTTTTCCTTCAAAAAGTAGAACCTTTGTAGGGCGTTTTACCTCTCTGCTGCTTTCTCTGAACAGTGATTCACTGAAAATACATCTGCTGCATGCTTATAATTGCCTCAGAGGTTGGAGTGTTTTTCCATCACGTCTCTTTGTTGTCTCAGGCAGCGACAGAGGTGCTGTGCCTGAATGCAGACATCGAGGCTCTGTTGCATCTCTCAGCTGTCGCAGTTCAGGAGCTGCTTTCATCTGATCCTTGCTCTCGTCATTTTTCTGTGCGTGTTATTAAAGATAAAAATGTTATGTTAAATGTTATCTGGTTCCTCCGAAATAAGAAAGAAAATGTTTTTCAGTAGCCTTGAAAAGGTCTTGTAACTGCATGCAGAGTTGAAGAATTTGTGCCCAGTGTTTGTGTCCCCAGTTAGTCCCATGTGGCAGACACAGCTCTGCCTTGTACCGAAATGTGCCTGCGCTCTGCAGAATGCCACAGCCCACGTTAAGAAGTGATGCACGTTGTCTTGTGCTGCATTTCCTTTGTGTGCTCAGCTCAGTACTGGGAGCGGCATCAGCAGCGTGCAGCGCTCCGAGAGCCCTGTTCCTCCCCAGGCTGCTCTGTCCCATGGGATGGGAGGGCTGTGCAGGGAGCTGTTCCATCTTGCCTGCTGGGCTCCCTCCTTTTCACCCCTCTGACCGAGCAGTTCTGTGATGGCAGTTTTATCAGCACGAAAGGATTTCCCTCGATTCAGTAACTGCAGCCTCACTGGGGGATGCTGCTGCTTGTGCTGGCGAGGGGTTGCTCCTGCCTGACAAATCCGTGTTAGCAGAAGTGCCCGGCCTGTGTTCAGATCTGCCTTCTGGAAGCTACAGGCAGTGCTGGGAACACAGGGTAATGCCTGGTTGGTGCCTGGTTTTACACCTGGGAACGGAATTAGAATGTGTGTGATCTCAGCAGGTTATGGGATCAACCGGGCAATTGGCTGCAGTGAAGCTTTGGAGTCTGTTAGTAAAAACGTTGGTGTTGGTTTGGACGCTTTTCTGCATTTGGGAGCAGAAAGTTCTGTGGTGTGTATGTGGTGACTAAGCAGCAAAGGTCACCTGAATGTTCAGCATTTTAGAACGTGTTTTCAGACTTGGGCATTAATTTACAGACCGTTTCTGGTTTTTTAGATGGTGTTTTTGACCGTAAAAGCCAGAAATGGTGGCCAGGATTCTAGTCTTCTTCACGTCCCTGAGCCCTGCACCCCCAAACCTCTATGTGGGGACCAAGGAGGTAAATCCCTCCCCACTGTAAGGGCAGAGCAAGTCCGAGAGTGCCTCCTTAGACTGAATGAATACAAGTCTATGGGGCCAGATGGCTGCATCCCAGGGTCCTGAAGGAGCTGGCTGAGGTGGTTGCCAAGCTGCTCTCCATCATATTTGAGAAGTCGTGGCTGTCAGGTGAGGTCCCGGATGACTGGAGGAAGGGTCACGTCACTGCCATATACAAGAAGGGGAGCAGGGAGGACCCGGGGAACTACAGGCCGGTGAGTCTCAGCTCCGTGCCTGGGAAGATCATGGAACTGATCCTCCTGGACAACATGCTCGATCCCATAAAGAATGAGCATGTGATCCGAGACAGCATGGCTTCACCAAAGGAAGGTCATGCCTGACTAATCTTGTGGCCTTCTATGATGGAGTGACGGCATTGGTGGACGAAGGGAAGGCGGCCGATGTCATTTACCTGGAGCTGAGCAAGGCCTTTGACATGGTCCCCCACCACATCCTCATCTCCAAATGGGAGGGAAGTGGATTTGATGGGTGGACGACCCGATGGATGAGCAATTGGTTGAAAGGCCGCAGACAGAGGGTGGTGGTCAATGGCTCTGTGTCCAGGTGGAGGCCGGTAACAAGTGGTGTCCCCCAAGGGTCTGTCTTGGGACCGGTGCTCTTTAACATCTTTATTAATGACATCGATGAGGGAATTGAGTGCACCCTCAGCAAGTTTGCTGACGACACCAAGCTGAGTGGTGCGGTTGATACGGTGGAAGGAAGGGATGCCGTTCAGAGGGACCTCGACAGGCTGGAGGGCTGGGCTCGGGTGAACCTGATGAGGTTCAACACGGCAAAGTGCAAGGTTTTGCATTTGGGCCGGAAGAACCCCAGGCACCCGTACAGGCTGGGAGGAGTGGTCCTTGAGAGCAGCTCGGCAGAGAAGGACCTGGGGGTCCTGATGGACGAGAGACTGAACATGAGCCAGCAGTGCGCTCTGGCAGCTCGAAAGGCAAATGGGATCCTGGGCTCCATCAGGAGAGGGGTGGTCAGCAGGGAGAGGGAGGTGATTGTCCCTCTCTACTCGGCTCTTGTGAGGCCCCACCTGGAGTCCTGTGTCCAGGTGTGGAGCCCTCAGTACAAGAAAGACATTGAGATCTTGGAAAGGGTCCAGAGGAGGGCGACTGAGATGAGCAGGGGGCTGGAGCACCTCCCCTATGAGGACAGGCTGAGGGAGCTGGGCTTGTTCAGCCTGGAGAAGAGAAGCTGCAGGGTGACCTCATTGCAGCCTATCAATACCTGAAGGGAACCTACACCCAGGAGGGGAGTAAACTCTTCAAAAGGGCTGACAACAGCAGGACTAGGGGAAATGGATCCAAGTTGAAGGAGGGAAGATTTAGGTTGGATGTTAGGGGGAAGTTCTTCACAAGGAGAGTGGTTAGGCCCTGGAACGGGCTGCCCAGGGAGGTTGTGGATGCCCCGTCCTTGGACGTGTTCAAGGCCAGGTTGGATGGGGTCCTGGGCAACCTGATCTGAATGTGTGCGTTTGGTGGCCCTGCTGGGCAGGGGGGTTGGAACTACATGATCCTTGAGGTCCCTTCCAACCCGGGTGATTCTGTGATTCTGTGATTCTGTGAAATGTTTTCAGAAGAGAACAGAAATCCTAACTTGAAATCGCACCCATGGTCAGTCCTGCAGCAACTGCCTGTCCATATTCTTTGGTATTTTAAGAACTTGTTCGTATTTTGGGCATCTCGGCTGTCATCACTGTGACTCAGGGTTGGCTGCTGCTCAGTTCGTGAACTGTTTCTCCCATCAGGAGATGTCTGACCACACCAAACTGGTGCCTCCCTGCAGTCAGGTTCTGTGCCAAGCAGTGATGAACGTAAACATCCATCTCCTAGGTTAGAAGTCTGACAGATAGCTCACATAGCACGCATACGCTGACTTTTATTATTTCATTTTGATTTGATACACAGCAGCTTATATGAAACATGCCATCTGTTACAATTCAATTAAATATTGTCTCCAGAAAATTACTTCCAGCAAGCTGGAAGCTCTGGATAATATCTGAATAATGAGGCAAGGCAGAACACAAATATGTCTTCAGTCGTTTCCTTTATTTTTTATTGCTTGTGGCTGGAGAAACGTTTCCCTGCAGGCTGTGACCTGCTGGTGTGTTTTCGCTTTCCCTGGGAGGTGCTACTGCTACTCTTAGTGCCGAAGAGTTTTTGGTGCCCAGCATTCTATTTGACTCTTCCTTAAGGTAACTGTCCTGCTATCCTGCCTGTATCCTGCCCGCCTTTAGGACAGAGGGATGTTTGTTTTCCCCTACGAGCCTGTAGGCAGCCAATGGAACAACGAAGATCATGCGTGCTTTCTGCATTGCATTGAGGCCGTAAATGAGAGCATAAACTTCCAGTGAAATTGATTATATACGTGTGTGTGTGTATTCCAAGGTGCTGTTCCCTATCTGACTTTGAATATATTGAGGAACTTGAATAAAAGGGTCTTGAAGCTGATTTTGGGGTGCCACATCCAGCTGGTGAGGGCAGGGCCTTGTTTATGTTATGCTATTGCCCATTTTACGCCAGGTGAATCAAAGTTGTTTCATTTCTGTTTTACTTTTCAAGTAGGGTGGATCAAGGTGAAGAACAGTACTCTCTTTTAAAGTATTACATATACATGTACATATATATGTATATATGCACATAACATACGTATTATGGAGATAAAGCTTCTTGGATCTGGAGCATCAGCAGAGTCCCAGAGATCTGACAGGAAGGAATTGCTCTGCATAGGTGTCAGGGAGGTCTTCAGTAGGGTGGCTGTAGAAAAGCGAAGGCCAGGAAAGAGTCTGGGTGATGTTTTGCTGCTTACCTGTGTTTGCTGCGCCTGGGCCTAGTCAGTCACGGGAATTACTGACATTCAGGTAAGACTATTGACAACAGCAAATTGAAGAAGACAGAAGAATATGCACTGTGTTCTAGGCTCTGTTTCGTAGCCTGAAAACAGAGAACACTGACTCAAAGAACTGGCTTGGAAAACACTTGCGCTCTGTGGCTTTGAGCTGTTCTGTGTTACAACTGCAGAACGGCCCGACTTGCTGTCTTTGGGAAACCTCTCCGAAGGCAGAGGAAGCACTTGCTGCAAAGACGGAGCAAACAAACCCTGATGCGTTAACAAGCTGATGAAAGGGGTTTGAGTTACGGCTCTGCGCCGCAAGCAGCAGCACTCGAGGCCCAGCCTCCTGCTGAGATCAGGACTTGGCAGAGGAATGGAGGTGATAACACCTAAAAGATCGCCAAAGACAGACTAGTGGAAACACGTGTGGATCTTCAGACAGGTCTTTCGCCTGCTATGGACATATGGATCTTTCAGCAGCTATTTGTCTGCCTGAGATCCGCTGTGATTGAGCAGCACTTCTTTCACATACAGGACATCTGTTTACCTTGTCTTTATTAAAGCTTTTGCTAGGCACAGCTGAAGGGAACGAAGGCAAGGCCTCCAGCAGGGCAGGCTGCCCGTTAGTTAGCCCTGAGCAGTGCAGGCTGTATGCAGAGCTGTGTGTGCGGGGCTGCGGGGCGCTGAGCTCGGACAGAACCATCGCTGCAGAAGTCTGAGCATCATCACGGTCTGTGTCGGCAGAAATGTACTTCAGCAGCACGGCAGCATTCCTCAGGGAGCTTCCGTAGA